TTTTTCTTATCAACCTGTCATATTGCGCAGCAGGGATCAAAGTAAAAACAGATACCTGCCTGAAAACAGATACCTGCGGCCAGACCGCGGAACGCATTCCCTCATTGGATGAAGTAAACACGTGATCATTTGAAAATTTAGAGAGGGACAATTCTGTATTGTTTTGTTCAAGTCGGCAAAGGCCTGGGGTCCGTTTTACAAAAGAACTTACGACTTAGACTAAAAATTTGAGAATATCGTTTCTTAGAAAAAGATCATAAAATAATTTCGATATAAAGTTTATTAAAAAATTGAATGTATATCAAAAGTCTCAATTTCTTAAAAAAAAGTGTTGTCGGACATTACGAGACGCTATTTACAATCAGAAATATTGAAGGACATTTCTTAACGGCGGACATTATGTGATCAGTGACGAGTTTACCGAGAATAGATGGACATTTCTTGGCGGCGGACGTAATCCGAAGATTTGTTTTTTCGGAAGAAAGGCGGACTTTTCTTGTTGGCGGACAAAATTACGATTTGTTTTAGAAAGAATGCAGGCATTTTGAAGCAGGGAATATAATATTACGATGTGTTTAGAAGAAAAGCGGACATTTTGTAGCGGCGGACATCGTGTGACGATTTTTCTGAAAAAGAGGCGGACATTTCGTGACGGCGGACATAGTGTGACGATTTTTCTGAAAAAGTGGCGGACATTTCGTGACGGCGGACATAACGTGACGATTTTTCCGAAAAAGAGGCGGACATTTCGTGACGGCAGAAATAACGTGACGGCGGACAAAACGTGACTCAACAATGATATATTATTTTTTAAAGTAAAACCAGCTAAAATAATAAAAACACTTATCAGATTTTAAAAAAAAATCCTTACTTGTAAATGTTTAAGAGTCGACTGATGACACAATGTGCTGTGACGTCAAACGTTCTGCTAAGGTAAAACTAATAACCCCGGGAAAAAGTGGAATAATATTAAATGGGTACGTTTAAAAACACAGACAGCCGAACCCGATCAAAATAAAAAATAAGGTACATGTATTTCACTTTGATAAAAGGCTTTAAGCTTTGTTTGGTTAAATGCAAATAACATTGACCTACACTCCAATGACCATTATCGTCATATTTCTATTGGTCGTTCTCCTCGCTTACCTGTTCTCCACAATAAAATGAATTTTGATATTACTGACAGCTGTGTATTCAATATAAATATTTTACCTTGCCTTGGATAAATTGCAAATTCATTTCTTAAAATGTTTTTTGATTGTAAACATAAATACCCTAAAATGACTTTAAAAAAGTTATTGGCAAGAGCAACCTCCTTTTTTTATTTTGGTTTAGTTTCAATCTTAAATACATATAAATAAACATTTAGTTTTCGTGCCATACATCTACAAAAATAATAAAGTCAGTGCTTATTTGTCAAACAAAAGAATTATAACAATAAAACATGACTGAAAACATTGCAGCCCCGAGTAGTTAAACGTAAGTCATGAATTTGCATTGAAGACTTGCCACATTGAGAACATGAAATTATTTATATTTTTTTAATATTTGAAGTTTCGTAAGAAATTAAAAAAAAACTAGCATGTTTCATGAGCAAATTTGTGAATATGAGTTTGTCTTATCTAAGTTCGTTTTATGTTGCAGTTTCAGATGTACATGAGTAGTACTAAGAAAGGTCCATTGATTGTACCTTAAATATTTTAATGACACTACTGAAGTCAAAATTGATACAAGCTCTATGTTACGATCACAATGTATTCCAGCAATCTATTGGAATTCCCATGGGTACCAATTGTGCACAATTATTAGAACTATATTTGTATTTATATGAAGAAGAAATGGTGATGGTTCTTATGCATTAAAGGAAGAAAACACTTGCTTTAGCCTTCATCTCGACACTAAGATATATCGACTGCATATTTTTTAATAAAAAAGGTTGTTTCCATTCTGATGTCTTTGAGATATATTCCGACGAGCTTAAAATAAAAGATACATCAGAAGCTGACGCATCTTTATTTTGTTGATATTTCACTATAAACATGCATTATTGGGCAACTATCAACCAAGGTTTATAATAGCTTTTATTTTTTAATTGTCAAAGTTCTACTTATGCAGCATTATGTCTTTGTCATTGGTATAAGGGGGTAGTTACTCTAATGATCAATTGATTTCAATGTGCAAAAGCATGCACCCCGTATGAATAACTACTTAAACGAGGTAAGTTATTGACAACCAAGTTGAAATTGTAATACATTTACAAGTTCTATAGTGAATACTGTAAACAATAACCTTGTCAGGAAACACAATCTACATCATAATGTTAAATTCCAGCGTTTCGATACTAAATGATACATTTACACCAGTATTTTCAATGAATTGTCGATGGTTTTTTTGCCATCATTTTGCAATCAGAGCAAGGCTTGGAGCACAAATGGGATGTGATTGGTCGGGAGGGGATGCTTACTCTCCCATGGTACCTGATCCCACCTTTGATGTTTTGGAGGTCCGTGTTTGCTTTGCTTTAAAGTCAGTAATGTTTAAGTGTCTTTTGAGCCTGAATACAGTTCGTTATCTCCATGCATATATTTCATTAACTCAGGTGAGAGTGGTGGCCATTTTTGATCTTTATTTGTTTTTATTTTTTTTTTTGGCAATGCTTGAAATTGTTATGTGAAATTAATGTATAAAGATATGAAAGGATTACACTTATCTGGCTTAATATTGAAAAACTTAGATGAAAAATAATCAGAACAGAGTTTTGGATTTTAATTACTCGCTAGATTATTTTTCTTCAGTATATGTATATATCTAATTTCCACTAAAACAAGTAAATTGACAAATAAAGAGGTTTATGAAAACCGCTCAATCGCCAGAAACACACTTTGAAGTGTCTTAGGTAAACTAAGATATAAAGAGATAAATTTTAGCAAAAGTTAATAATTTATATTAAAATTAATCGGTGCAAACTATTTATTTTTATTTGATCAAGTGATGAAACAATATGACGCTCACTTCTTCCTGCCAGTAACTATTTTAATGGTGGACATCACTTCATATATTTTCACCAAATGTCTCTATTTGATAAAAACCTGAATAAGATCTGATAAGTTATCCTGATATCATAAAAATTTTGTAAGATAAAATGAATGCTAAAAAGGAGATTTAAGCTTTGGTACAATGCAAATGTTGTGTAAAGTAAATCATAATCTCAAAAATGGGAGACCTGAGCAAATTACGTCTAAACAATTTCAAAATGACAACCTAACAAAAATTAATTAAGAATTTTTCTAAATTATATCTGAAAAACATCAATTAAAAAATGTTTAAAGATATTTTTACTCATCAATTCTGTTTGTTGAGTCAAATTTTGTCCGCCGTCCCGAAATGTCCGTCTCTTTTTCAGAAAAATTGTCATGTTATGTCCGCCGTCACGAAATGTGTGTATTTCATTTTTACATTTAAATAATATTATTATGCAGTATTTGTACATTATCCCTAACAAAACAATACACATTGGCTAAAATTGAAAAAAAAAATTAGGAAATGATAATTAGTGAAAATAAACATGAAGAATGATCAATAGATAACATTGCTGGCTGTAGCGAACATTCTGCTTGAAATTAAATCTGGAACGAATTTATTTATTAATCAATTAGAGGATAGTAATAGACAATCAACATAAATTCATCATCAATCTGTTTTAATTAATTTACAACATACATGCTGGTATTGTTTGTTTAATACTTACCAGATAGTATTCATTTTTCTTATCAACCTGTCACGTGGCGCAGCAGGGGTGAACGGAAAAACCGATACCTACCTGCGGCCAGGTTAGACCCCGCAACGCGTTCCCCATTGGTTGAAGTAAACACGTGATCATTTGAAAATTTAGAAAGGGACAATTCTGTATTGGTTTGTTTAAGTAAGTAAGTCCTTAGGCCCGTTTTACAAAAGAACTTACGACTAAGACAAAAAAATTGCAACATCAAAAAAGATTTAAATAATCTTGATAAAAAGTTGATTAAAAAGTTATATGTACATGTATATACATACTTTAAAAGTCTCATTTTTCTGAAAAAAGGCGTACTTTTCGTAAAAGCGGACATTACGAGACGATATTTACAATCCGAAATATTGAAAGACATTTTTAACAGCGGATACTATGTGATTAGTGAAGAGTTAACGGAGAATAGACAGACTTTCTTTGGCTGCAGACATAATTTGACATTTGTTTTTTCGGAAGAAAATTGTTTTTTTCTTGTCGGCGGACACTATTACGATTTCTTTTAGAAGGCATTTTGCAGCGGGGGACATAACATTACTATTTGCTTGGAAGAAATGCGGACTTTTTGTGGCGGCGGACATAGTGTCACGATTTTTCCGAAAGAGAGGCGGCTTTTTCTTCTCGTTGGACAATATTACGATTTGTTACCAGAAGGCATTTTGTTGCGGCGGACCTAAAATTAATATTTTTGTGGGAGAAATGCGGACATTTCATGGGGGCGGATATAGTGTGACGATTTTTTCGAAAAAGAAGCGGACATTTCGTGACGGCGGACTTAACCTGACGGCGGATAAAACGTGACTCAACACCGTTACTAAAACACTGTCTTTGGCTATGCGCAATGCAGTTGACGGAATTTTTGAAAAAAAAATAGTATTATGAATTCCCACAAATGTAATAAGATATCATACTTTACAAGGTTGAAAATACAATCGTGAATAATCTCAATTATTTTCAATGAAAACATGTTACATGTAAATATACAATAAATTTACAGTAATACAGCATATTCTGCTGTAAGTTTTCTTCACTCATTAGTATTATTAGCATTTATACAAAAAATAATCTTAATAACTATAATCAGTTGATTTATCTAAGCTCTTTTACAATATAAATTACATCGACTAATTTAAAAAAAGATTTCAACAACCGGATTAGTCGTCACATGTATTTTTTTTTGTTTTGTCAAATAGAACCAGACGATGATGGAATCCGTATGATACTTATCGGTAAAACTGGAACTGGTAAAAGTGCAACCGGTAATTCCATCCTTGGAAAATATGTTTTTAATTCCTCAGAAGGAGTGGAATCAGTCACAAAGACATCAAGTTATAATATTACCGATAGATTCGGGTATAAAGTAACTGTTATCGATACTCCTGGACTTGAAAACACAGCTATATCAGAGAAAAATATTTTTGTTGAAATTTGGCAAGCATTTCTAATGGCATCCCCTGGTCCACATGCCTTTATACTGCTGTTAGAACCCGGTAGACTGACAGAAGAGGATGAAGAAGTGGTACAAAAATATCAAAATGTCCTTGGTGATGAATTCACAAAGTATTTGGTTGTTTTATTCAAAGACAAAAATAAGTTAAGGGATCTAGGACTGACAATGGAATATATTCTAAACACAATATCTCCAGAAAATAAGATGGCTAAACTATTGAATGCTGTGAACAAACGATATTCTGAAATAGATTACTCTCCAAACTTTCATGAGCAGGAAGAAGACGTTCAACAGTTATTACAAATAATAAATGAGATGAAAAAGAATAATAAGCCACCTTATCTCAAAATTAATGCAGAAACGTTTGGGAAAAATTCTTTTCGTTATTTATGGACAACTGATTCTGAGAAAAAGAACACTTTTGTTGGCTTTCCTGAAGGTATTCCCCAAACAATTGAAGCGATGACCAAATCTGTCAGTGGTAATGTTAAAAAAATAATGAAATCTATTGCTATTAAATCTATAACGTATGTTCGTCCAGACATAAGTGAAGATTCAGCTACCCAAATGATAGAAGCTCTGTCGTCATTTGTCTCTCTAGGTTTCCAATATTATAAGGAAAATGATGATTAGTTTACAATAAAGTATGTGCGTTTCCTGATTCTGTTGTCGTGATTTAAGAGTTCATTGTTCATATCAACATGTCACTCCTTATTAACGGCAAGTGGAACTGAAGATGCCACTTGGACAACAGACGGCAAAGTTGTTTATTGCTGACAGAGACCTAGATGATATCATATTTTTGATTTTTTATTACTTTCTCTTTTTTTGTTTTGTGGTTTCTCGTTTCAGCTATCCTAGAACTATTTTTTATGTTGAATATAATTATGTTATTTTTTTAAAACAAAATTAGAGGAAAATAAAGTTATATTTCAATCGTAGAAAAAAAGGCCAAACTGATCATGAGCTTATAAAATTAAAACTGCCATCCACGGTAACATTTCTTGTTAAGAGAAAGCTGTTTATGTCATACATACATAATGTTAATATTCTTTGTTGTTTAATACATTCTCTGAAGCATTCTACTTTCCCATTTTTTCGTTCGATCACCGTTCTTTCAAAGTTCGTTCAGTGTGAGTTCACCGTTCGCCCTTCGTTCACAGTTTTGCTTTCACCGTTCACCGTGCGCTCGGATTCACCATTTTGCGTTCACCGTTCACCGTGCGCTCGGGTTCACCGTTGGCGCTTCGTTCCGTTTACTTTGCGTTTACCTTGCGTCCAACGTTCATTTATCGTTCAGATTTCATTGTCATTGGGAACTCCGAAGTGATAGGACTTATCTTTTTGATGTTAAGGATTTACACGTTTATCAATTAAATAAATTAGATATCGTGTTTGAAAATAATTATCTCATTGCAAAATTATGTATGAGATTAATTTTTCTATTATTTCTATTCATTGAATTTTACATAATAATACATTTAAGTACCTACATGTATGTAATCTCTGTTGAGATTCTGCTAGGCTAGATATTTGGACTGACGCCTACAGAATCTCTGGACACTTCTTCATAATTCATGTCTGGAAATTAAACTCAAACTTTGGCCGACTATAGTATAGAATTATTTACAAAGGCAACACTACTGCTCGCTACAATTTAGTCATTTGGTTGCTTATTTGACTATTTCACTATTATTTCTACATAATTTACTGTTAAACCATGTAAATCCCAATATATAAAAAAATATTCACTGAAATCCCATGAACCATGTTTTGAATTGGGATTTCAGTGTATATTTTTTTATGTTTGGATTTACATGCTTAAACAGTAAGTTATGTAGAAATAATAGTGATTTAATTTAATTTTTGAATAATCAAACAACTGTGGATGTAAAATTGTGCTGCTTTTTATGAGTTCAAATTTGCTGCTCAATAATACATCCCTAGTAACGAAAGTGATTTGAAACAAGGGGACTTAATAACAGATACACAGATCTAGTAGCCATGATGTTTGTTTACACGAGGTAAGAGTGATCTACTATTTGAAGTTAAAAGTACATTTATGAAATGTAGAATTTTCCATGTAATTCCATGGACTGGAAATGTGGGATTGCATAGATACAGATGAATCAGCTGGTTGTCAAGGGGATTTGTCCCCATACCAAACCAGGTTACTACGTTTTATTCTTGTGTTTCTTTTTGGAAATTAACCAATGAGAGACTAGAATAAAATAAAAATTAAATTACTACTGAATTCGATTGTTTAAATCCTTGATTAATTATGTCGATATAAAATGTTAAAATATACATAGTTAGAAAAGTGTTTCCATGAGTTGGGAATGAATGTTACAACACTGCAGTGTGTAAATCAGCGTGAAAGTTTTGTTTTTTCTTTAATGAAACGCAAGTGGTGTGAGCAATGACGTAAAATTGGTCCAAATCGGCCTTGTAGTCAATAATTATCTGCCACTATATCCAGCGATGGGAAATACGAAAGACAACAAATGCAATTTTAAAAATTAAAACTGCATGGTTGCCGGCCGGACTTTCAAAGGCCCAACGATGTATTGCGAATCATAAAACGATGTCCCAGAGTAATCATTGTTCAAACATAAGTAAATATAATATTCTTACGTCACTAACTATGATGCAAAGTTTAGTTGAACATCAACCGATGATCGGCCGATGTATGTTGCCCACTACTCACCCCTCGATGTCTTCAGATTCAACAGACACTTGACGATGTTCGTCATACACTAGTCAATCCTTGAGAAATGTGGTAAAGTATAAGTCACATTATCCAGCGATGGGGTAAACGATGAGAAACCAATGCGTTTATTGATGAAAATATAGTGATTGCCGGCCGGGCACCACCAATGATCGGACGGTGTCTGAGGCCATTTTGCGAACACGTGGGGTCATCGGTAGCAAATAATACGTAGTTTAAATTCAGCGATGTCTCCAACGATGCCTCACATCGCTCCTCATCGGCAACCCATCATTAACACATTTTTCAAGAATCGGCCAATGTATAGCCAAGCATCGTCCAATATCCAATGAATCTGAGGTCAACGGGGAGTTAAGTGGTGTTCAACGGATTACAACCGATCATCGTTCGATGTTCGACCAAACACTGGTCCGTAGTCGACCGATGTACGAACGATGTTCACCAATGTATGAGCGATGTAATATTCATCGGCCGATTATCCTGAAACATCGTTTTATGATTAGCAATGCATCGCTGGGCCTTTGTAAGTCCGGCCGGCAACCACACCATTTTTCTCATAAAATGCATTGGTTGCCAATCGTACATGTATGCACATCACTGGATAATGTGACTGATACTTTTAGGACTACTTGGCCGATATGTACCGATGCTGGGGCATTGTTAACACCAATGATTACCACCGATTACCACCAGTTTACGGTTTCCGGCCGGGAAATGTGACATAGGCATTATGATGGGTTGCCGATGAAAAGCGATGATGGGCATCGGTGGAGACATGGCTGATTTTTATTAACTTCACCTAATTTTCTACCGATGACCCCAACCGATTTGCCAAAGGCATCAGTCAACGTCTGATTCATATAGGTGTTTGGCCGTTAATCACGCCATTTTTATCAGAAAACGCATCAGTTTCCCATCGTATAACCCATCGCTTGATAATGTGACTGATACTAAATACTTATCAAATGGCCTTATGGCTCTTTAATTCAGTTCATAGTCTATAAAAAATACATATAACATCATATACAATGATATCATATCTATGCTTATAAATATTGGAGTTACACTAAATTTTTACTTTGTTAAAATTAATAAATGTTGCTCAACTTTTTGTACGAAAATTAATCACCTGTTTTCATCTCTGATATAATATCTTTACAAACAAGAAGACCAATGAGAAACTTGCATGATTGATCATCCTTTTTCATGAAGACACATCCTAGAAATCACTAGAAATCATCTTTAGTGAAAGGAGAGGAGGACCTTTAGATGAAAAAATCATTTATTTTTTATGCTTTATATATTTCTAATTTGGTATGTCTCAGTTAAAGCAATAAGTTTCTAGTCTTATTTTAAAGATATTTTATGAATCTTACTATGCATCACAGTGTGGGAGTAAAGTTTTGATTTTCCATGTTTCTGGGCCAATTACTCTGTCCAAAATGGGAACTTTTTAGCACAGAATGAATAGTGTTAAGACTTTGATAAAAGCAAGTTTTTTCTGTCACATTGAATATAAAAAGTTGAAATTTCCTACTTTCTAAGCAAATTTGAGCAAAAAATTCAAAAGATAATTTTCATTCAATATTAAAATGTTTATACGTTGAAATGCAAGTTCATAATTTTAATTATCAAATAAATATTATCAAAGAGTAAAGCTGAACACAATATTGCACAGGCTATATAGTAAAATTATACATAAGCAGGAGATAAAAATGCACCATGTTTAAATTCCTCAAGTACGAGAGAAACAAAATATGACGTCACGCATCTGCGAACTAAGTGAAATAAGACATACCTACAACAAACCTCCGTCATCAACCATGTAAAAACATTGAGCTCTCTATTTCACAAAATACTCCATCATGTTCAGATCTTGACCCGTTTTTATGTAATAATATTGTCAATTTTTCTACCAAGTATAATCTAAAGTATCAGTCACATAATCAAGCGATGGAGTATACGATGAGAAACCAATGCGTTTTTCGAGGAAAATGGCGTAGTTGCCGGCCGGACACCACTAGTGATCGGACGGTGATTTGAGGCCATTTTGCGAATCGGTGGGATAATCGGTAGGAAATAATTCGTAGTTAAAATTCAGCGATGTCTCCAACAATGCCTCACATCGCTTCTCATCGGCTACCCATCATTAACACATCTGTCAAAGATCTGCTGATGTATGGCCGAGCATCATCAAATATCCGTTGAATCTGGGGTCAACGGGGGATTGAGTGGTGTTCAACAGATAACGACCGATCATCGTTAGAAGTTCGAGCAAACTTTGGCTCGTAGTCGACCGATGTACGATCAATGTTCACCAATGTATGAGCGATGTAATATACATCAGCCGATTATCCTGGAACATCGTTTTATGATTAGCAATGCATCACTGGACCTTTGTAAGTCCGACGGGCAACCACGTCATTTTTATCATAAAACGCATTGGTTGCACATCATAAACCCACCGCTGGATAATGTGACTGATACGTGAAGGATTACTAGGCCTCTGTGGACCGATGTGGGGGCATCGTTAACACCACTGATTACCACCGGTTTACGTCTACCGTCCGGGAAATGTGACCGCATTACTGTACTAAGTGATTGCTTATAACATCAACGATTTGTTGGCCATTAAGTTTGGGGAAACATAATAGTAAATCAATCTTTTATGTTATTTGTTAATATTTACAAGAATGTTTGATATTGAAGAAGTCAAACAAGCTGTCAAATATTACACGAGTACTGTAACTTTATATGGGTTTTAACAATATATAATCAGAACTATGATTTAATTTAAAAGAGGTATGTGTCCTTTGACGTTGGATCTACATAGGTTAAACAACCGTGTGGGTGTATGTGTGTTGATAATATATAATGTGCGAAACGGAACTAACGTATTTTTATG